TGGATCCTGAAGTTCACTGTGGCTCTGGCAATGGAAGGGATGACATTCACCTGGAAAAAAAAAAGGTCAAAGTTTAAAAGGAAGTGAAAATCAGAATAAAATGCCAGCTGGAAACTCAGAACTGCTCAAACAACTGCAGGCCTCGGGTGCTCCAGTGTTTCCACCAAGTGTGATGTCTCTTAAACTGTAAATCCCATCTAAAATGCAGATAAATACACAAAGAAATATTAATCAAATCAACAGAAATTAAACTATTTGTTACTTCTCTAGAAGTTTTCATCTTGAGCTAAGCTCCCTCCCTTCAGAAAATTTATATTGAGAAATTCTGAAATTGGATTTTTTTAAGCCATATTTTCACCTCATTGTCACACTACACGCTTCATATTTAGGTACATATAAGTTGCTTAACAACTGATTTTTATTGAACACCTAACTCTTCTTATCTACAGACTGAATATTTACAACTTTGTTAAACAAAACCATGTGTAATCTTTAGAAAAAACCCCAAGGAGCCAGGGTGTCACTTCCCTGCTGGCCACTCCGTGTCACTGTTCAGCCACTGCATCCTTTCCTGTCCGGGGATGTTTTGCACTCACAGATTTTTCAGGGACACACCAAACACAGCCTGGTCGCGTTTCAGGGCTCCAGGATTTTTGGACAGCTCCACCTCCTTATCAGGGCAGGATCTGGCTGTTATCTCTCAGTCCAAGGTGCACTTTTAACACACTTCAGGCAAACCCCAGAGCTGTGCTGCAGATGGCTGGGTCAGAGAAGTGTTTGTGACTGTGACAGTTTCAAAAATTGCCTCTGATACTTTGTAGGATTATGCAGAAACCCCATTTTCTGGTCTATGCTGAAATATTAACAATTTTAACAGAGGTGGACAGAGATCAGATAGTTCTGAAAGAGATTTTCAACTGATTTTCAAATCCAAGCCATATCTGAAGAATTAGACATCACACAGGTCCACACTGATCTTAGAAGTGAATATAAAAAGGTGGAAATTAAATGTCCTAATTGTCTCATCATAATTACATGGAGAAAAGCCCAAATGAAAGCACCTTGATTCCTGCATTAAACAGGGTGACTGCAGTGGTTGTTCGGATCAAGGCGTTGGTGGAAGGTTTCCAGGCAAGGACTCTGCAAAAACAGAAACAAACAAACACAATTTTTCAAATAACTTAAATATTGCTAGAAATTAAACACCATCATTTCACAGCTGAGTGATGGCTTATTCAATTAACAAAGTGGTTATTAACAGGAAACCACACTGAATTATCTAAGCTATAAAAGAACTGATTTCCTGGCAAGATTAGAAATGGCTTCACCTTTTAAGGGTGAGAGGCTGGGGATGTTTATCAAGGATCTCTTTTCTTACCTGCTGACAATAGGTGAGAACAGCCACAAATTGCTCATGATGATGTTGAGAGGAAACTTGAACTAAAGGGGAAAAAAAAAAGCAAAAATCAGAAAGTTTTTATTTGTCAAGAGCATGGTGGAGTCACTTGAATATAGACAAAACAATTCCAGCAGGAACAATAATCTGGGAGAAAGGATAAAAAAGCTGGTTTTTCTACACAACTAAATTCTTCAATTTCTTATGGAAATTTGGGAATGAAACCTGGCTGGCTCCTCACCTCTGCTGCAAGGTGCTCCATGGTCATGAGCTCTGGGCCGTGGCCAAACAGGTTGGGCAAGGGATTCTGCTCCAGCCTACAAAACAAATTGTTCAAGTTTGCAACACTGAAAAGGTTAAAAAACAACTCTCTGGCTGCTGTTGCTCCAGAAGGATGTCAGGAATTTGATTTGTGAGATGTGTCTGTGTTATTGGAGATGCAATCACACTCTGCTCTCCTGGTAATGACTGCAAGCACAGCTCCACAGATTTCTGGGCATTCCAGTCATTTGAGAAAAATCATTTCTCAAAGATTTCCTTTGAGAAACAGCAGCAAAAATCCCAAAACCTGTCCTCATAAACACCTGGAAATCCAGAAAAATAGCACACAAATCTCACCAGCTCTGGACATACTCAGTTTTTCTAAAACATTTATTTCTTAGCCAATTTGGTATCTACACAGAGATGCAGAGAGGTGATTTCTGCAGTCATGTTATGACTCTGTTCTGTGTTCATTGCCTTGGAGAATTCCCAGCTGAGGTAGGAACAAATTCCAGAGAAATCCTGCCACCCAAACAAAGGAATCTCTGTTGCTACAGAGGAAATCAAGGCAGACAGCATTTGTCTTGCTTTTAAAGAATGGGCTGACACTTGGAACAGCTGAAGATCTGCAGACACCTGGCAATTGTCCCTTGGCTGGGAGTTTCATTCCTGCCCTTCAAAGTGAGCTACAAACTACAATTTCAAACATACAACAGCAGTTTGAAAAAGACTCTGGACACAAATATTTCAAAAGTCACATATCAGTGATTCAGGAGGTTTTTTGACTGTTTTTGGCATTGGTGACAGGGAAATTCTCACCTGGACATGGCTGCTGCCAGAATGCCAATACTTGTCTCCTT